ACTAAGTGGATTACTTTCTACCCACTGTCATTGAGTCGCCTTTGACTCTAAATAACCTTTTAAGGAGAGTCAAACTACCCCTTAATGCAGTGGTTCTCAACCTGTGGGTCACAACCCCCTTGAGGGTCAAACGACCCTTTCACAGGTCACCATATGTATAACAGTAGCAAAATGAGTTATGAAGTAGTAACGAAAATAATTTTATGGTTTGGGATCACCACAACAGGAGGACCTGTATTCCAGGGTTGTGGCATGAGGAAGGTCGAGAACCACTGCCACAGGGTTTCCAAGTTACAAATCTACAGAGCCCACCACCTAATTTTTTCCCCACCTTGTGGCTGGTGGGCTTGAATGGTCCACCTTGGTTAGCAATTTAAATGCTTAACCCACCAGGGCCCCTAAGAATAACCAACCTATGGTTGGTTAACTTGAGACCCTTTAGGGTAGAGTGGAAGTACCCCACAGGGTTTTCAAGTCAGGTGGCATTGAACTCAAGACATCTGTAGGTTGAGTAATGCCCTGAACCACTGCACCACCAATGATTCTGAGGATTTCTTTCTAGCAGCTTTTAACCGTATGACTAGCATTCAGATGTCTGAGTACAAGAGTGCTGCCTCACCAGCGTGTTCCAGGAAATGTTATCAAGCAGGTACATATTCTTAAAAATCAAACTGAAAAAGTTTGAAGTAATTTTTCTATAATTGAGGAAATTTGGACTCATGTGAAGAGAATTCAGATTCCTGAAATAGTTTTGGTTCCTTTAAGGGCTATCATTCTAATAATTAGTATAGGTTACCTATACAAAGGTATTATATTTTGTTCAAAATAAAACGTTTTAAGAAAAAAAAAAGGCATATGCACAATTTCTTCATCAATTTGTGTCAACCATTTAGCTAACTTTTCCACTCCCCCAGTTAATATTAACATTTACAGTGGCAACAACTCAGGACATGAAATCATCAGTGCGGCCCAGAGCAAGTTTATACTGAAATTAAGTTATTTTACACCAAGTAAATGGTCATCCACAACCACTGGCTAGTGTCCATATAAACTTTCTGTTTTAGGAAGAAACAAATGCTGCTTCGATCATCTGCTCAGTTTGTTTCTTCTGTTCTTCAAGTCATGCTTAGAAACCTTTCATGATACTCTTGGTTTTGTCAGTTTGCTTGCCTGTGGGGGTTAGGGCCTGCTGACCCTGCCCACTATGAGGCTGCCCTGCTGTGCTTTCGGCTTTAACATTGTCCAATCAAATGTGTAGT